TGGAATATATTATTGTTGAAAATGTTGTGGATGAGACGTGTTTCACATATTTGTCATAGGAATCTTTATCAACCGGAGGTATGGGTTTAGCTAAAATACTCTGAAAATTTTAGTTTTTAATTTTGCTTCCTTCGCGAGTTATAGATGACCGACTAAAACCGACTTACACTTGAACTCAATAAAAATAAATTTTTTTTTCTAACAAAAAAGTTAAAATTAACTTTTCTTTTAATTAGTCTCGTACAAATAGATTTCACAGATAATAAAAAATACTGCGCCAATTTGAAAAACCATATAATATTTGTTACCATGCATACCTGTTGAGCACTGAGTTAGATAAAAAATTTGGGAAAAAATACTATACAATAACATAAATATCATTTGATTAAAATGAACAATTTTTTTGTTTTCTTGGATTGTTGTATGGAATACAAGAAACTCCTGAAATTTTCAGAAAAATTTATTTTATTTAAAAATTTTTACATTTCTGCTCGTTGGCTAGCCCACTTGTTAAAGTAAACAGTAGAGTACACGTTATTTTCGGAGAGAGATTTCGTTTTGACTTCTTGTTGCTCTTTGTTTACCTACTGTATGCAACAGTGTCAATCACGAACTAGAATATAAATACTTCGGCAGACAAATAGCTCATTTTTACACTATTCCAGAAAAGTGGGTCTTCAGACTGTGTCTAATGAGGATAGAAAGAGAAAAAACGTCGCCTTTGTCAAGAGAATTTATTGCAGAAACGTTTTTCATTCGGGATATGTAGTTCTTGTTGTTGAGATGAACTTTGGATTTTATCACACCGATCGTGTCGGTTTTTGTTAGGAAATTCACGATTCTACACAGTAAAGCCTATACCAGTCTTTGACCCTCGAGTACGAGTATCGAGTGCAAAATTTGATAATCGTGTACGAATACTTGTGCTTACCCTGCTCTGATACTCATCAATAGTATATACAATCTTTGACTACACTAGTTATATTTGAATGAAAAATAAGCAGATGACATCGCGATCTTCCTGTTTGAAAGTACCAATCATTCAACGAGTAAAACACTTGTTCTAATCGCAATTGATCAAACAATTCGTTTTAACATTCATGGAGCCTGTATATCCTCATTCGGCATGGTAAATTTGGTGTGAGTCAACAACCTTTCAGAAAAAAGCGTTGTATGAGAATGTTGCCATGTGGGTTTTTTCTCAAAACGGTATCATATAAAAAACTGACTGATCTTATTGTTTTCTATTAAGCAGCACATTGAATCAAAATGACACGAGAATGGAGAAGGAAAAACTGGATGTCGCTATGACCGATTGAGTTTAAAATTTTGCCATATATAAAGCATCATTTAGAGTTAGTTCTTGTGATGAAAATATGAGCTTGATCTGAGTATGCATCATGAAGCAAACGCATAGATAAGATAAGATTTTATTTTTACTAAAGTGCAGGATATCACAAAAAAGAACAAAAGACTTGTGGCATCCGTGGATACCCTATGATAACCGAAAACTAAAAATTTAAGAAAACTAAAATGGATGATGCCACAAGGTTATATCAAAACTGTGAGTATTCGTTGTCTTTGGAGAAACGCAAAGAATCAAGCTCAAACTTTTATCACATAAGTGTCTCTATGAGTGACACCATTTGACAGTAAAAAAATCAAATTTAGAACTGACTTCTTGGGTGAAAAATCAAGAAATCACCGTTAGAAACACCTATAAGGAACAAATCTTGAAAAATGCATATCTCAGCCCAAGAGATCTGAAACCAACTTAGACTTTTACACTACTCATTAGTATCTATCGAATGAAATTAGTCTCGATCAAAAAGCGATTTATCATCTCAAAAGGTTCCCGCATAAGATTTGATTTAGATCATTTACCTTTGAGATTCTTTGCAGTATATTAGTATACTCAATTTATTGCTATGTATCAAACCTGTCTGTCTCATTTGTATTATCATTTGATAAAAAATGATAACAAGTTTGTTTATTCACATGTTCGAAAAGAAATAATAATTTGTTCTCTCGCTTGTTTCGACAGATGTGTCTATTTCAATGAATAATTAGAAATTTGTCTATTAACAGTAATATAATTTCAGAGTGTACGTATAGCAGATGAAGAGTGACATACTCCTCTTAAAACATTTTTCAGTCAATTCTTTTTCTTTTGTGTTATCTCCATATAGGATTCGCTATCTATATCTTTCTAAACGATAATGTAAACTATATGATTATATAAATAATTTTAGCATTATGTTTGAATATTTTGTATCAGAATTGGTTCTATATAAGTAAAGTAAAATATTTTTATTGGATGATCGTTCACTAGTCTTCATCATCCTATTAATAGCAGTTAAATGTGTATACTTGTTTTCTTCTTTTCCATATTGTACATATTAAAAAATTTGTTGCTACTCTTATCATTTTTTAGTTCAGATAAAATAAATATCAGTAACAATAGCAGATCGTTACTGATAGAAGAAAACATGACAACTCCACAACTCTTTTTCCAGATCTGAATGAGTTTATAGAATAGATAGACATGGACGAGCTCTATCAAATTATATAATTAACTAGATTTATCAATGAAACTATGTTTTATAAAAATGTCTACAAATTGTTATGATATTTGATAATATTATTATTATTAGTACAGACAGTGTTATAATGAGTGTAGAAAATTTTGAAGAATTATTTATTTGCAAATTTATCACATGCTGAGGATAAATAATATGAAGAAACTTAATGAAATTATTCTTTACATCTATCGACAGATATCTAAGTCTGGTAAAGATCCATAGTAGAATTCAACAGAAGAAAAATTAATTTACTCTTATCTTTACAGATTACTGTATTGACCAAAAATCAAATCAAATTTTATGTTTTCTCTTGTTTCTCTATACAGTGATGAGATTATGTAAACAATTAAAAAAGCCCTTTGTTTTGTATCTTCTATTGAGTAATAGGCTGAAGATTATATATTAACACATGAAAAAATCAAATTTGCACGCACTCACTCGTACTCATCTAACTACAAGTCAAATAAGTTGAACAAATAATATGGAGGTGTTTTGATAGGAGAAAAGATGATGATCATCATCATGATAGAGCTTGTTGATATACATCATGTTTGATAAAACAAAAAAAAAAAAAAGGCCAAGTCATCATCATGATCTATTTTTCTTTTTCCTCTCCTTTACGAGAAAAACAACGACATTAAGCTTTTTGACTTTTGTTCAATCAAAGAAAAATGAAATGTGACACACACAAGTTTTAATTATGACAGAATAACGGAAAAAAATAACAAGATGGAATTAATATGTCAATATGATGATTTGCAGGTATAATGAAAAGTAAACAATGATCAGCGTGACGGTCTAGTAGTCGTCACAGTTGTTATTCTCTGTTCACTCTTGTACTCTTCTCTAGTGCAATAATGTAGAACAAGCTTGAGTAGATTATACTAATTATACGATCGTTTTAACAGAGGAATCGTTGTAATTCCATATAGTATATTTATTTAAGGATACTCCTTTTCGTCCGTGAAGCTTCCAAGGAAAATCTTTTGATAGCTTATTAAATCTTAGAAACTTCTTTTCTCTACTCATCATGCAAAAGACTTGGGTCCATCTCTTGAGATCATCTCCGAGGGTATAGTATCGATAGTTTTTGAGTTTTCAGATCATTATGACCTTCAAATATTCCACTGGATTGAGTCGAAGTTTTTATCACAAGAACATAAGATGTCTCAAATGTTTTCTTTTCGGTTTTTGAAAAATATGTTTCCGAGTCAAGCTAAACAAGACGAAGTACCTTAAAAGTTTTTGTTGGACATATGTGAAGAAGGTGCGTGATAGATTCATAACAGAATTCGACAGGAGAAAAGTTAACTTTTTCTTATTTCTATAGGTTATTGCATTGACCAAAAATTAAAAATATTCTATTTTTCCTTTTTTCAAACAGTAATGAATGGTTCGTCTACTTAAAAATCGTTTATCGTTGAAATCAGACTAATTTACCTTCAATTAATCATTGTGCCAAGATTTAGTGATTCTATCATATCAACTATACGTCACGTAAGTAAATTACAATCTTTAAACTGATGATCTCATGGGAATGGAATTATTGGTGTTCATTTTTATATATTCTATTATTGGCTTACATTATCTGCACTTTTCATTGGTGAGGAGAAGAAATGATAAGTGTGGAAAAGAAACTATATGATGTTATTCGATCTATCTACGATTCAATCTTCTTAGATAGAGGGAAAAGAATGTGCATTTAAGATAATAAATTGTCTGTGACATTCAAACACACACACACACACACATTGACTCAAGAAAAACATTAATCATGACTCGTTCGTCGCGTTCGTTTTTATTAGAAAAACCTTAACGCTAGTATTTTTAAATCATACATAGATTTTTTTTCTTGTACATGATGATTATGCATAGCAATTTTACCTCGTTCTTCTTTCTCTTCCCTCTCTCTCTCTTCATTATCATTAAATGGCAGCAAAATTCTTTCATGACGCATTGAGAAGATAAAATAAGAAAAAAAGAAAATATTCCCTAAAAATATTATTAAGTGAGAAACACCATCGATTTCTACCCTGATTTGATAACAATTAAATGACTTATCACTGTAAGTTTTATTCTAAGAATTTTATGGATTGATGATTAAAATTTGCGTTTCAAAAATTTTATCATCGTAACTAGACGTTGAATTTTTAGCAAGTTTTGTAAAGGTCATAGGAAAACTAATCATTTTTTGAATACTTGGTTGGTAATCAACATTCAGTAAGATTAATTAACTATGATGAATGATGGATACTCGATTTTCTGTCTCAACTTCATGTCTCTTATATTTTCATTTTCAGTTAATCAATGAGTACTGTTGATCCAATATATAAACAAGAACCGGCTGATAATCATTTACTGAAAAGTACCATTATCACTTCTTCATCTTCTCATTCTCCTATAACAAATCTGGATAATATGTTAAATAGTTTGCATCAGGCAACTGCATCACCATCAATAGCACGACATGAAAATGATTCTAAAATTAATTCATCGCATCACTCTCATCATCATCCACGTAATCGTCAACAACGTACATCAAATTCACTAAATCAAGATCATAATTTAAGGCTAAATGAAACACACAATAATCAATCATCAAAAGAGAAAATAATGGAAAGTGCATCGGAACATTCAGTAATTTATCGGTATTATCAAGGAAATTCGGACAATATTGTCAGTGAACATTTCGAAAAAGCGTTAAAAACGCCATCATCCCAAACATTCTATAGTAGTTTATTTCATCCAACAAATTCATGTTCGAGAACAAGTAATAAATAAGAGATCGCTTACGTTGAATTACTTGTTAAATTGCCATTTACTTGACAATTAAATGTTTTTGGTTTTTTAGATAATCGGTCGTATCATGCTCCGTTATCATCAAGTTCTTTTTGGCCAAGTTATGTTTATCATCCAAATTATTCAAGTACAATTAGTGATCCATATTTAAATGATCAATGGATGCATTCTTATTCATTAACAGCGGCTGCATTCGCTAATCCATTCTCACATAGAACAACTGCTCAGACACCTTTGTCTTACACGTCGAATTCATCTCTATCGTCTACTGTAAATGGAAATGATCAACGATTTTATTCACCATTGCATTCAAATACCGGCACCAGCAGTAGTACAGGTACAGGACATCATTATTACTCGTCATCTTCTTCACACGGAAATCGATCATTTAACCACCATCATCACCACCATCATTCGATGATTCAGCCATCTGATGTTGCGGCAGCCTCGAATGCAGTAGCAGCAGCTGCAGCCGCAGCGGCAGCTGCTGCTGCTGCCTCTGTTAATTTGCAAGTTAAAAATCATTTTGATTCAGCTAAACCGACACCGTCACATCATACATATTCACCGTCATCATCGGGTACAGCGGGAACAAATATGAATCAGTTTTCGTCTCCACTCGATTATGGAACAAGTCCAACGGCAGCATTCAATAGTCAACCATCCTATCAAGGTATCAGATTAAAAAACAGTAAACTATTCGTTCTGTGTCTTTTATCACGTGCTTTCCACTTAAAATACGCTAATATTCTATATATGATCATCTCAAACATGTATGCTTCCTTATTTAGGTTTTGATTTAATGTCAAGTGACGCCATAAAAGATTCGTCCACTATCTGGTGTTCAAGTCATCTTATTAATAAAACATGGAATGATAATTTTTGTTCGTAGGGCAAAAATAATTAAACGCTTCTATTCGATGGATTCTACTTGTGCTACAAAACTCAAAGTTTTTTGTTCCAGTTTTTTCACATAATTTTTATTATTTATTAAAATAATATAAAACATTAACGAAATAAACAATTATGAATAGAATTTTTTCATAACATTTGAGTTCCAAAGAACAACAATTATGTAGTTTCTCGTATTTTTCGGAGATCCGAAATGCATTTTGTTTCAAAAATAACTTATAATAAATTACCAACCTTTTCAACGCTAGATTGCCGTTAATAACTTATTTTCGATAAGAAATGGAAATGTAATTTTTTTTCAAGTATATTAATCGACAAAGCTTTAGGTGCTGATCAAGAATGTGTGCGAAAGAATGGTTGAAAGTAAAAATAACGGTGAGTTTTTATCCAAAAAACACGTTGGATCTAAGTTTTCAGCACTATCTGTTACTGTATTTCACTTTTTTCTCTGTCATTCAACCTTTATATAAATTAAACCTCAATTTCATTCTAGTTCAAAATCTTACTTTAAAAAAAGACAAATATTCAAACGTTATCATTTTTTGTAAATGGAACAATTTTCAAAATCTCTCAAAATGTTGTGAATATCT